ACGAGGAGACCGGAAGAAAAAATCCGCGAGCCTTGGAGCTGTCATTACATCGATATATTGCTAAATACATTAAAAATAAAAGACGACATGCATGAGGGAGACAAATTACAGTTGTAAAAGGTGCCGCCATGAAATCAACATGTGACCACGTAGTGGTGCCGGATTTTGATTTCTTTGCTGTGAAAAATACTACACACAAAGGGGAAAACGACACGAGGGTAAAAAAAGACAAGGAAAACTTATCCTACCAGCTACCATGTCGGATGCCGAGCAGCGGCAACAACCCAAGCTATAAATCTGGACAGGAAAAAAAGCAGGCGATCCAGCAGAGCTCGCTAGATTTCATCTCCACTCGAGGCGGAGAGAAATTAAGAGAGAAGAACGGCTACCTGTGGCGCTGCCAGGTGGCCTCGGTCACGTGGGTTCGTGACGTAAGAGGTAAAAGAATCTTGAGGTCATGGGGCTTCCCCTGACCTGGATTCTATCTCTCCGTCACCGGCAGAATCGCTGATTAATGCCTACAGTACAAAATAGTCATTTTGACTGACCGGAGTCTATGGTGGGTAATTGAACGTAGTGAATAGACAAGGTCAATCCATTAGTCTCCCTGACCCAAGTGTGTGTGTGAAATATGGCTGGATACGGACAGACAAGAAATTAAGAGAGAAGAACGGCTACCTGTGGCGCTGCCAGGTGGCCTCGGTCACGTGGGTTCGTGACGTAAGAGGTAAAAGAATCTTGAGGTCATGGGGCTTCCCCTGACCTGGATTCTATCTCTCCGTCACCGGCAGAATCGCTGATTAATGCCTACAGTACAAAATAGTCATTTTGACTGACCGGAGTCTATGGTGGGTAATTGAATGTAGTGAATAGACAAGGTCAATCCATTAGTCTCCCTGACCCAAGTGTGTGTGTGAAATATGGCTGGATACGGACAGACAAGGTCAATCCATTAGTCTCCCTGACCCAAGTGTGTGTGTGAAATATGGCTGGATACGGATGGACAAGGTCAATCAATTAGTCTCCCTGACCCAAGTGTGTATGTGAAATATGGATACGGACAGACAAGGCCAATCCATTAGTCTCCCTGACCCAAGTGTGTGTGTGAAATATGGCTGGATACGGATGGACAAGGTCAATCCATTAGTCTCCCTGACCCAAGTGTGTGTGTGAAATATGGCTGGATACGGTCAGACAAGGTCAATCCATTAGTCTCCCTGACCCAAGTGTGTGTGTGAAATATGGTTGGATACGAACAGACAAGGTCAATCCATTAGTCTCCTGACCCAAGTGTGTGTGTGAATATGGCTGGGTACAGACAGA